TATTTATAATTATTTGTCACAAAAATCCCCGAAGGACTGTGAGTGCACAATTTCTTCGCATGTGATTACAAATTTATTTTTAGTTACAGCATAGGGCATTGGACTTGTAGATGGGAAGTGTGGATTTTCTAATACCAGATGATTTATAGTAGGTCTTTAATTATGGGGAAGTTATACAACATTGGGAAATTTTGATTTAATTCAAGGCTTTGTAGGACCATTTCCATGAAGATTGGAAGTATTTTTGCTTGGCTTTGGCTTAGGTTGTTTAAAAAACATGTTGTTTAACAATAATGTTGGAGAGTTTTGATAGGAATTAAGATAATACAGATAATTCTAGTTCACAGTGAATTTCTTCTTTCGTAATATACCAGCGAGCTTTAATAGATTGAAAGCATTTCTTCTGTATTGTTTGTACCTTTTTAAGTGATAATTTGGAGTGTCCTTCCCAAATCGCACGTGTATATGACATTGAGGATCTTAAAATTGATTTGCATATTGATAGGGCAGCTTCTGTTTTGAGGTGAGACTTCCTGTTGAGGAGTAGAGGGGATTTTGATGACCTAAAACATTGCCAAAAATAATCACTAAAATGATCTTAAAATGCTTTTAAAATGCCTTAAAAAGTAAGAAAGATGGCGTAAACAATTTGGTCAAAACCGCTTCAGATGAACAACTCAAGCGATTAGAGAAATTACTGATGTAATCGAGGCTTCCTCCTTTTGTTCAAGTAAACTCAGCTTTCAAAATTCGGGTTTGGACTGTTCTTTAAAAAATCTCTGCCTTTATTTATCGCGAAATCGGACGAACTGAGAATGGCGCCAATAAACGTCACAGGAACATTAGATTACGTGGTACTCACAACGGCTGATATTACAATATGTGAGCGAAGAAATCGTATAGGTTACTCAGGAATTTTCTGTAGTGATCATTTGTAGCACATCGTAAATATTTTTTGAAGCAGTACCATTAAAATCGATTAAATCAGCGAAAACTGCAATGAAAATGTAAAAAAGTGATTTATTACTCGAAATCGATGAAAATTGCAACAAAATGACCTATAAAAATGGGTCATTTCGTTTCGTCATAACATAAAATGAATTTATATACTAAACGACATTGTTCTAAAGTGAAAAGGGAAAAAAAGACCATTTAATTAAAATCCGTCCATATTGATGAGCGTTACAAATGTGTCAACATATTTGGTTTTTGTTGTGATGAAACAGATTGCAATTATAAATATATTTCAAAAATATTTGGAGGTCCTGAAGCAGTCAGGGGGACGAGTGGTCCTATTTACAAGCCCGAGCTGGATGCCGGGGGCCCGCCGCATGCCTGGCGAGCCAGCCCGGGGCACTCGCCGCGGACCCACGCTAAGCGGCGCACCAAACACGCGCTCAGAAACAGCATAACTGCCAACGCAAAGAGAGCGCGCCGGCGCCGACCCGGCCTGTCCCCGCCTCCCCCTCCTCCGCCGTCACCCCCTCGCCTTCCTCCTCGTGCATCGTAGGGCCCCTCCCGAAATCGTCGTGGCGCGGGCAGCGGGCTGGGGACGTTTTCTCGCTCCCTTATTTGGAATGAGTCACGGGGCTCCCTCGTATTTGACCGCGAACCACCTCCCCCCCTCCCGTTCGCCAGAACATCATGCTACAGTACAGTATAGGCGCAGGGTGCCGCGTTGCTATTCTATGTGTACTATAGAACAGGGACTACAATATGATTTGATTCAGTCCTCTTCTCTGCATTGTTATGCGTTGCTTGCAATGTTGGGGCAAACTTGGCTCTTCAAAATGTATTATGCTTTTCGGCAAATAAAAATAGTCTCTTATTCGTCGCCTGGACGGAATGTAGAATAACGTTCATACCATTATTTAACTGACATATCATAATATGCGAAGCCACATTATTTCATGAATTAGCCAATATACCTGGTTAAAGTGAAAAAATGTACAATTACTTGACCCAATTTTACATAAACTCATTTTAGTAAAAGTATGAATTATTACTTTACAAAAAGTAATTTTGTATGGGAATAAGTAAAGATCGTATCTTTTCTACACTAAAATGATAATATATTTGCTTTTTTTAACTGACAATCTCTTTGTTCCTAAAGAACAAATTGAAATGAACATTATGAATTCTAGAGGATTACATGTTTCTACGCACATTTTAATGAAAAGTATTTTCTCTTTCAGTTATATTTTTTCAACCTTCGGCAATTAGTAACTCTATTTTCTAGCATTTACGAAGAGTCACAATATCATGGAGAACTTCCGCTAGTAAGTTGAACTACTTGAGAAATAAGAATTAAATTACTGTCTAAATTGCGTCCAAATCGTCCTCCTCCTTTTTTGTTTCCAGATATCT